CCTCTTATCTCAGCTTCCCAGAATGATAGGTTTACAGGCATGTACCACCATACTCAGCTTGTATTTTAAGTTCAAGAAAAAAGGTGATTTCTGCTAAATTTAACAGAACTTTATTGAAACACAAACAAGAACAGGATATCTACACATTAGAACAACAATCAGAACAATAGCTTATTTATGATGGCTCAGTTCACAATAAGCTCAAATGCTAAATATTATAACCTGGGCGAGACAAATATCAGTGTTTTCAATTGTAATATTCACTTGGCATCAGAAAAATGATCTAGCTTTCACAAATACTTGGATAAACTTAGCATCAGCATTAAAGAGGTGCACTGCAATACACAACTATCTATGCAAACCAAAGTATTATTCAGTGATCATAACTCAGGAACATAATGACCATCAGACACAAATGATTAATCATACTAATTTTCTTGGTCCACTTCAGGATCAGTCTGATTGTCTATTTTGCTTTGCAGTTGCTTGGCAAATTTCTCAACTTCACGAAACATAGAAATAAGGGGCTCAAGACTGAAATCATCATCATCAATGAACACTGTTTCTTTTCTGATATTTTTACCAATATTCTCAAATATTGCAAGAACAATTTGAATATTGTCATTTGTCTCTTCCCTGTAAAACAAGCCCATAAACTTTGACACTGCTTCAGTACTGAGTAGTACTTTTATCATGGTAAAATTTTCAGACAAATTCAATAGCATTTCCAGAACATGAAACCTTGTTTTGTTCTTGCCAGTAGCTAGTAAGGTGAGAAAGCCAGACATATAATTGGCAACCAGTGTGTGGTAGTCAGTAGTAGTAGTGAGATATCTAATCATTCTTAATCCAGACAGCTGCTCAGGGGAATCCACACTGTAAGCAAGGGTTTCCTCACACACTTGACATACATATGTCTGAATCATGTTTAGATTTGGATAAGGTGGAGCCATAAGAATCATCTCTTTCAAAAACCTTGTCTTATCTCTGGAGGATGGATAATTCAGCAAGGTTTCAATAAGCGAGACAACACCTGACTCCCGAATAAAATCTCGGGTAAATTGAGAAGAACTTCTCATACCCATTGCAATTTTAGATATTTCATGAATAAAAGGATCCTGAATTTTGTCCATTAATAAAAGGAGTTCTTCAAACTCTTCAGAACCAATTTTAAGTTCACACTGTATGCAGGTGCAGGACCAGGTCTCAGCCTCTGCATTCTCTTTGGCCCTAAGATGCTCTCGAACTTCTCGGACTGACCGGTAGGATGGGTCATACTGAAATGAGAACTCAGGTTCAACATGACGGAAAGACTCTTGCTCTTCCCCTTCTGCATTAAGCTCCACATGCCTGTTTTCCCCAAACAGTTCAGAGAATAGAGGTGCCGCTTCTCTTGGAAATCTAAAGGAGCCTAGAGATGGGAAGCCAACTCTACCCCATGGACCAGGTTTGAACTCAAAACTGACCTCCTCCCAGCTCTGGGGTCTGTGTGAAAGGTCAGGTTCCTGCTTAACTGAACCCCAGGGCTCACAAGTGGCCCTGAACACAGGGCTAGGATTTGATTCAAAATGAGACTCATCTCCTACCCAGAACCAGGACCCCACTATGTTCTCATCATCAACTGTCCTAGACTCACAGTTAGTTCCATCACCAGGCCTGTTATTCACCTCATTTGTAGCTCTAGACCAAGTCTCAACAACTTCATCATCTTGTGACTTGCACTCACAGGTAGCTACAGTTCCAGTTTCCTTGTCTGTAGACCAGAACCAGGACTCAACAATCATTTCTTCATCATACTCTGGCTTTGATACATAGCACATCCCTGCTTCCACATTGACTTTATCACAGCAGGACTCCAAAATTTTTTTTTCAGTTTTTGACCTGGTTTCTTCTACTGCCTGAGATTCAGCTTCTCTGTCAGGTTCTTTAGGCCAGAACCAGGATCCAACAATGATTTCTTCATCCTCGGTGCTGGTCTTGGACTCAAAGGTATCCGCTGTAACTACCTCTAGACTGGTTTCTTGTTCCCAGAACCAGGACCCAACAATGACTTCCTCTGCATCAGCTTTGGAACTATATTTGCTGGAAAATACAGACTCTGTAATAGCCTCTTGCTCACCCCAGGACCTAAACACGGATTCCTCAACTCCTAACCCACTCTCTTCTCTACCTTCTCTTTGTGTCTCAAGCCTGTCCTCTTCCTCAGACCAGAACCAAGAACCAATAATGTCCTCCTCTTCAGATTCTGGCCAGGACTCCTTTCTGTCAGTAGCCTCCACAGTGGCGTCTTTATCTTCTTTCCAGAACTGGGACTTGGTCATGGTCATCTCTTCAGTTGGTAACATGGCCTCCTGTCTGATCTCATAATCTGTACTACCTACTTCCGCAGCCCATAACCACGACCCCACAAGGGCCTCTGGTTGTGTGTATTTTCTAGAACAGAACCTTGAATCAGCAGTGTCCTCTTCCTCCTCTGGTCTAAACTTCCAGTTTCTTCTACTGGCACGATACATACAGGGTTCTTCTTCCGCCCAGAAGCAAGACTTAGTATCTTCAGCTTCCACCATAAATTTGCACCTAGCACCAGTTCCGTACTTCACAGTGGCCTCTTCTCTGGCCACAAATGATGATGATATAATGGCCTCTTCATCCTCCAGGTTAGACTTGCTGTTGACTGTAGCCTCCTCACATGCATCTACTTTGGACCAGAACCAGGACCCAAACATGGGATCCTCCTCCTCCTCAGCTCCTGGTACATCACTGCTAGCTTCCGTTGCAGAATCTATAGAAGTCTGGTTTTCAGACCAAAACCAGGACAAATACACTGTCTCTTCTTCAGATCCTTGGCTAAATTCTTCTCCAACCCCAGCCCCACTACTGACTTCTCCAGCCCATAACCAGGGACCTATGACTTCTTCTGAAGACCTTGGCTTAGATTCACAGTTGATCCCAACATCAGATTCTACACTGGCCTCATCAATGCTCCAGAACCAAGCCCCAAATATTGTCTCTTCTTTGGGCTCAGGATTGACTTCTTCACCAGCCCAGAACCAGGAACCAACAATGACCTCTTCATCGTTAGATGACAGTATAGAGTGAGAGGTGGCTTCAGCCCCAATTTCTATACTAGTTTTCTCCCCATCTCCTAAATAGGAATTGTCAATAAGCTCCTCAACCCCTAGTCTGGATTTGCTGCTGGGCCCTTTCTCCATACTGACCTCCTGTTCATTCCAGAACCAACTACCAATAATAGACTCATCCTCTAATTGTGGACTGGACTTTATGTTGGGCACATCCATCAGGCTGGACTCGTCTGTAGCCCAGAACCAGGTCTCAACAAAGGTCTCTTCCTGTGTTCTTTCTTCTCTTTTGGTGCTGGTTCTGGTTTCTTCCTTTTCCATTGTTTGGGCCCTGGTCTTTTTGGTGTTACACCTTAAAAATGTATTTTTGCCCTTTCCTTCAGGCCCGAACCAGGGCTTTTTTTGAATTATATCTGTAGACTCAGACATGGTATCAACACAAGTTTCTTGCTTGGGACTATAACGGGCCCTCTCATTGGTCTCTTTTCTGGTTCTAGGTAAGGTACTGCATTTGGTCTCTTCTCTATCCCAGAACCAGGACTTCATAGCATTTTCACACTCAGACCCAGGACTGAATTCAATATTGACTTCTTTCTCAGACCTAAGCCAGGACCTACTGACCTCTTCCCTGGATCTGAACAAGGAATTGGTCTTTTGTTTACCACAAGGCCAGGATGTCTTAACAGACTCATCCTCGGAACCAGAACTACTAGACACAATATAGAGATCCTGTTTGTTTTTGTGCCTAGAATAGTTTGTTTCTTCTTGTTTGGATATGTACCTGGATCTGGTACCAGACTTTATCTTGTTTTGAGGATGAAAACTTCCATTGACCTCTTCTTGACTCCAGAGCCAGGAATTCACAGATTTATCTACCCAATTGAAATCAGAATTCTGAGAGGGCTCTTGTTTGGATGTAGGCCTGGGAAAACTCCAGGGCTCACTATCAGTCACCTTTCTTGACCCAAATGAAGATTGGAATCTCACTTGACAATGAACTGTATTTCCAGGGAAGCTTTCATTGTTTGTTTTAATCAATTCTCTATCCATAAACAGGCACTTAGTATTAGAAACCAACCCAGAATCACTACTGACCCCTGGAGAGATTATGGCATTGATTTGGGAATCTTGCTCTGTTTTTAATATTGATGTAGGCCCAAATTCACTCAGGGCCCGGGCTTGGGCAACATCTTTGGATCTTGACTCCCGCATTGTTTTAATTTTATGCTTAGTATACACACTACCCACTGCTCTTGCTTCAGTTTTTGGCCAAGTTCCAGGAACAACCTTGGTCTTGGTTTTAGGTCTTGCTCCAGTCATTATCTGGGCCTGGGTCCTAACCTTAGGTCTGACCACTAGAGGGATTTCACTCTCTGTCTCAGCTACATTAACCACCTTTTCCTCAGACTTCTTTTCATGTTTATCCTCAGTATAAAGCTCAAACTCTGTACCAGTCATGATACAAATTAGAAAAAGCTGAGTTATATAACCCTCCCCAAACCACAGGCGTAATTGCAGTCAGAGGACTGTGTCCTTAAACTCTGATCATTTCAAAATTTAGACTACAAGCTGAAAAGCAAAACTGAGGCTTGATCACCAATCCAGCATTCATTCAGCCTCCTACTAAAGCATGGAACAACTCAAAACTGCATATACAAGGTAGGAATACAAGAAGGTAGGAAAGGGGTATCTGGATGGTTCCTGGCTGGGTGCAGACCCGTTGAGGGTGGTGGCCAGCAGCAACTCCAGCACCACCAGAGCTGTCACTGAAGGTGGATCTAGGGAGAGAGAACAAAATGGGGAATTGAGTCTCTCCTCCAATTATGCTGCCTCATGCAGAGACTCAGACTGGTGCGGACTGCTAGGTGGAAAAACTAAACTGAGAAAGTCTCTGTCCCCTTTGCCTGCTACGAAACAGGTATGGAGATGGTGGGGAAGTGTGCTGACAATGGAGAGGCAGAGAAGCCCCGCGACCGGACCCTAATCAACCCTGGACCCCACCACAAGTGGCTGGTCTCCACTACTCCACCCAAAAGTGAACCCACACCCATACAAACCTGCACTGGTATGGTGCAATTCCCCCCTTTTCTTTGTTCACGTGGTGTTAAGCCCCACAGACCACTGCAGGGGTCCTACAGACAAACATACAGGAGAGAATGGAGTCTGAGTGCTTAGGAGATAGGCCACATACCCTGGTCCAAGGAAAATCTCAATCTCTCTCTCTCTCTCTCTCTCTCTCTCTCTCTCTCTCTCTCTCTCTCCATTTCAGGGTCTAATCTCTCTAAAGGGTCCCATCTCTTGCTGTCAGGTCTTCTCCCAGTCACAGCCCAAACTACAACCTAATAGGCTCAACATTCAAATATCTATCAGGAAAGGGACGAGGAATGCTGTGGCAATGTGAAAATGCAGCAGGAAGTAAAAGTATATGTAGTCCTACACCCACTTGGACCAAAGCCACCTGCAGCTCTTTGTCGGGAGCTGTCCCCTGCATTGCCCCCTTCTCTTCTCACCAGCCTCCAGAGATGTGAGCCCGTCTCCACCTCTTTTGGTTTTGTGAAGAACTGACCAGCCTTAAAGCAGATCTATGGGCAAAGAGACAAAAAGGAAAAGGTTAAGACAAGTCAGGAAACAGAATAGCTGAGCTTGGTGGAGGGACCAACGTCAAAGACAGGAAACTCTACGTTATCTCTTTCAGGATTTGGGGACCTGCTGGTTTAATATTATTTTATCTGCTCCCTGTTGCAGTATTCCAGAGGTAAGAAGCCTCCTCTGGACTTCATCACTCTTCCCAGGACTTCCACCTCCAATTCCGATAATCCACCACTAGGTGTAAGACATTTTCTTACCCTGTGCAGCATAGAACAGGGGAAGGGCATAGCACATTCTAGAAAGCATGCTGTGAAGTTCTACTTAGGATTCCCTCATCGCCCCCCTCCAGGAGCCCATCCTTTCAGGCCCCCAATTCGGGGCGCATGAGATTACGTATGGGGCGGTAGAGACAATACCTGGATCTTTGTTAGAAAAGATGAGATCAGGAGGCACCACTGGAAGTCCGATTTTCCCCGTTCACATTCACCCCACTCTTATTTGGGTCTCCATTCAGGGATAGCTGCCCACCCCCCAAGCCCACACACCTCCAAAACTGCAGGGCATTTTCGTGCTCCTCCTTCCCCTCAAGCGTCTCCTCCACAGATGCGCACTGTGGCCTGTCAGAATTCACCAGACCTACGAAGCAGCCAAGTCTCTGACTTCAACAGGAGCCTGTGGGAAGGGCCAGTACCCCGGACACCGGGTCCCACAGGCCCCGTTCTGGGATCAGGGCCTGAGCAGCAGGGGTGACCCACCTTCCGCTCGCAGGCCGGCCCCACGGCAGACCCGGATGCCCCCAC